TTTCCACCTGTATGGTGTCACGGAACAACGGGCGGGGGCACGTCACAGGCGCGGATTAACGGGGAGGGGGGGGGAGCAATTGCCCCGTCTCTAGAGAGCCGCCTGAAAGGTAGGCAATTTGCACCACAAAACCCCTGTATGTAGGCAACCGACAGTGCATCGCCCCACCCCCCATACGTGAACTCGCTTCGTACAGTTTGGCCGACAGACCCCATTGAACTTTTAAATGACCCATATCACTTTATGTTGACGCGCTACCTAAGTATTCCGTGGGAGTCTGACCTTCGTCTGACTGAGGCGTCTCTGCCCCAACCAGGTCCAGGTCCCGAATCGCCTCGCGCCGGTGAGGGCGTGATGGCGCCACCCTCGGAGACCTCGGAGCAGCGCACCCCTCAAACGCGCAGGTGCCTGCGGTGCTTGAAACACGAGAAGGTGGTTTTCAGGAAGGGACACAACTGCCCTTTCCAAGACTGCAAATGTGTCCAGTGTACGATATTGACAAGGAAGTACAACAAACGAAACCAGAAAAGGTACCCTATACCCGAGATAACAAAATTTTCGCAGAAGAGTCAACTTCTACTATTTCATTGATCCCCTAAATTGTAATGGAATTATTAGTCTAACTGCACATTGTTTTACCTTTCTCTAGCGATTGCCGGGCCTCCGCTCGCCCTCAGCGCACTCTTCCCACTCTGGCTCCGGCTCCGGCTCCGGCTCCGGGTTCTGGCTCCAACACACCTACAAACACCACGAATACCCCGGCAACATCCTTCATCTGCGGTAAGCCGAATTGTGGAACTGTTTCTGTTCTTTGACGTTTTCTTCCTTTCACTTATGTTTTGAATTTGTTTTCCCTCTTCAGTCCCAGTCCTCACACTGGACTCGGCCCCGGTAGGCCCCGGCGTTGGTGCTGCCAGCGGTCCAGTGGCGGCCCCGTGCCTCGAGTTCCTGGTGACAGTACCCGCTGACCACAAGAGTAAGCAGATAAAACAGCGGATGGCACCAAGGCAGACGGCCGCTTTAAATTTGGTGGCGGGTATGTGGGTCCGGTGTGTTGGTACATCTGCACCTCTGTCGGTGACGGTATACTCAATGTACAGAGAATTCCTTGCTCTCCTCAAAACCAATGTGCCCGTCTCCTTCACCCAGGTGCCGAGGACACGACCGCGTCGAGTCGAGGTGCGTGCCGGTTGTGTCGAGCCCACGGAGAGCCCAAGTACCACCGTCAGTCCGACGACTGCCCTCACGCCAAGTGCACCTGCTCTGCGCGCTGCAGGTCGTTGCTGGCCAAACGGAAGTGGCTGGCGGCCTTGAAACAACAGGGGCAGGAACAGCCGGGCAGGGAAGTGCCCGAGCAGACAGCCCCGTTGGCGGAGGTAGCCGGCGTCCAGCCTGCCACCTCGAGCTCGGCGGCCCCGGGAGGCGAGGGGCAGAGCAGGCAGAGGCTGCCAACTGGACCCGTCGGTCTCGCTGGCGACGAGTCAATCAGGATCGAGTCTGAAGACCGCACACCTACACGTCGGCTCTCCGTGGTGGTCACCAACGAAGCCACGGCGCGACGGCTGCAGTCACCGCCCCGTCGCCCGTCGGTCGAGGTAGTCGAACTCGAAGAGCCACCGCCGCGCCCGCCCTCTGTGGAAGTCATTGAGGCGCCGCCAGCAGTGCCGCCACCCTTGGTCGTGTTGGACGAGCCGGACGAGCCGGACGAGCCGGACGCGGAGCTTCGTTGCCCGACCTACCCCACCTGTCAGTCGGTGTTCGACTCTGAGGAGGAGCTCCAAGACCACGTGGACTCGGTGCACATGCAGCTGGTACCGCTGCGGACTTTAAAAAAACTGTTTCAAATGATGCATCTGGCCGGTCAGTCTATCGAAGAACTAGCGGATCAGTTCGAGGAACACAGTTCTGGAACATCCGTATAGAGTCTTTAAACTGCAAGTTGTGAATTTTTACCCATATTCTGTGATGTCAAGAACCTTTTTGTTTTAATGATCTAGTCAATGAAGACAAAGAATGCTGATTCTGCGATCAAAGTAATATATATTATTTTCTTTATTTAATTATAGAAGGAAATGTTTCATGAACTTAATTGGTTAACTATTTCCCTCATCTTCATATTGAAAAACAAACAAACGCGTACGCACATGCACACACATTCACGTTTGTTTTGCGGGCGCGAAACAAAGCATAGTATTTGCAACGTAAACTCGCAAATCGTTCTCGTTGCTTAAACTTTTACAACTCATTTTCAAAAGCAGGCGCGCCGCGCATCCCCTCGGGGGCACGTGACGTGACGTGACGTCACGGGTGGCCAGGTCCCAGTTCAGTAGAACAAAGGTGCGGTTGTAACCCTTCCTGGAAAGTGAATTGAAGTGAAGAAGATGGGAGACTCAGATGAGATCTGTATACAGGGTGGTCCACAGACACCTTTCTTTATTTTGCTTATACTGTACCGCATGCAGTCGTGTGGGCGGGTTGCCTACTCATGGTGAGGCAAGCCCGCACGCCTGCATGCGGTACAGTCGGGTACAGCATAAGCAAAATAAAGGAAGGGGTCTATGGACCACCCTGTATTTTGGGGTAGAGTCAACGATGTTATGAGATCTTGGTCTTGGAACGCTTCCACTCTGAAAATCCATGTGTACGAATGTCGCTCACCTGCAAGTGAGTGAAAAATATCACACACATGCAGGCGTGTGACCAAGATATCTCTAGGTGCGACGGAATATTTAAACGCTTGTAGGTGAGCGAATAGAGATTTGTACGTTTGGAAGGTAGCCATTTACGCGTCCCCAAGTGTGTGAATGGCCATATTCAAACATTTGCAGGTGTATGAATTTATTCAGTTGCATACCTGCAGTGTGACATT